TAATTATTATTAAAAGCAGAATAAAAAGTATCATGGTTTATCTCTAGATCTTTTAAAAAATTATTATGTTACCTTTTGTATTTGGCACTGAGGTATTCATTCCAAGGAGTTACCATGTCGATACATTCTTCTGAAACAGATGTCTGTCTTGCCGCCATGACTAGGGAAGGTCAAAGCCACCACTAAAACCCTGTTCAAGTAAACAGAAGGATGAAGATAAGAGTCTGTGACAGCACAAACTTGAAGGTGAACGTACTAACAGTCACTTTTAATTAGACAATTTTAAACGTCAACATGTGCCGGCTCCAGTCACATGCCGGACTCCTATCACTCACAGTCTTTGAAGCCTTCACGAACGGTCGCCGCCTGCAGGAGTGAAATCCGTGTCGAGACTTTCTTGACAAGTTCGTACAAGTCTCGGAAGCAGAAGACGTCTGGACGGAGCAGACAGCTTTTTGTCGGTCGTAATAGTCGCTATTCGCACTCTGATCCGTGGATCGACTATTGGCACGTCAGCCTTACTTCCACCGATCGTCGCAGTCGCGCTGAAGCGCTGCTGTTGACGCGCGGAACGCACAAACGCAAGCGCAGCATCTCAATCTCAAGCAAGCTTCAAGCAAGCATGTAAAACTGAAAACCGCTGAGACTTCGCAGCTGTAGCAAGTAGGGAAACCACATCAGTAAATGATGCACTGTGCGTGTATATCAAACCTTTCTCTAAAAGCATTTTGAAGTTAATTTTCCAGGTTGGTACAAAAAGTGAAGCGGTAATAATAAATGAATCGGTAGGTTTTTATGTTAACATATTTATTTATTAGTTACTTCTCAGTTACATCACAGCTGCATAAAATTTGTCATATAATGTAGCTCGAGGGGCTGCATGTAATACTCGACAAGATGAAACCTCTTAACAAAAGTGACAGTGGACTGGACCGGCCAGCCTTAAACTATGTGAACGCGCAAACACACACACACACACGCACACACACCCACAGTTGTGAAGAGAATTGTACTATAGCAATTAAAATTTTTCCTCAGTCGCTCTAACTATCACCATAATTTCAAAAACAGTATTGTGATCCATTTCGTCATAAAACTAAAGCAAACAGTTAATAGTCCCTGGTTATCAACAGAAGATCAATATTCCAATGCATTCCACAATGCAACCAGGATTCCTTGATGTTCATGTCTCATAAAATAATTCTCCTATGATACTATTAAGCAGATTTATATGAAGGGGGGAAATATAGACATTGACTAATACCACTACAAGGCCAGCTTGAATGTAGTAATTAGCTCAAGTCAATCAACTGGCAAGCAAACTGAAATAAAATTTACCTGCATCATTGACAGATGGTTATTATTCATCAATGCAAAGGAATCCACAATGTACAAGTCCCGCTTTATAATACAAAATACTTGATTAAACTCACCACAAATACTCCAGACAACCCTGTAACATCTTCAGTTCTAGTGTCCCACACAACTCACTTTACCCATATACATTTGAGCGTAGAAGAATGAAAAAATATTTACATGATATTCAATGGTTGGTCCACCAATGTATTGTGGAAGGAAAGATGGGGGCTACTGCTCAAAGCTATGAAGGAGATTTTGGAGTCTCCAAAACTGAAGGTAGAAATGAAAATTTACCAAGCTAATTCTGTGCAAATTACTACAGTGCCATCATGACATAGGTTGATGATCAGCTATCTGAGTAATAGTATTTGTGGCAGTGATGATAATAGGCAAGAACCATTGACACAAATTTCTTCCAATTAATTTCCACAAGGCTGCAATACAAAGGAGTCTCTCTCCCTAAAGGCCAAATTTTGAGAACACCCCTTTGACAGCTTACATAGCAGAACTATAAGAGAATGAGGACGGAGTGTAGCAGGAGTAATGGAAAGTATTTCCTGAAAGGAACCATTACAAGCAGAGATCAAGACTAATATGCAAAATTTGAAATCAGGGGCAACTACAAATGTCAACTAAAACCAGTTTAAGGCATAAATAAATATAAAATGAAGCCACTACATAGCCCTTCACATTACTTCTTTCAAAATTAAAATTCAAGCTAAAAAGCAGTCAAAATTCATTAGATAAATCATTTTAAAAAGACCAAAACTTGCTGTATATGGTTGCAATATATTTATAATTCTTATTTACAACAAAGTGATAATTTTCACCACTAACTTCAAGGAATACCTTTGATCACTGGTTCCCTTCTGACATTAAAATATTTTGACTTAGGTCATGTAATTTTGAAAGTACATATGTGGACTGAATTGAGAACTGAGATCACAAGGTACAAACTAAAATAAAATTATCTTGATGTCTTATAGAATAGGATCAGTTAGAAACAAGCTAAAATTCATAAGAATTTTTCTCCTGCACTCACTTTTTGTTTCTCTCAACTGTCCACACTTTAAATAATTTAACAATAACTTCAACGTTTTGCTTAGTTTCTCCTAATGGAATGAGCTGCAGCAAGGACCTGCAAATTCACTGTAGCAGCTCTGAGGCATGCAAGTCCTCGCCACACCACACTGTTACAAAATGAACTAATCATCAACAGGCTGAGTGTCTTTTGGCTCCAACACATCATCAGACCACTCCAGCCTGCTCCGAGTGAAGATAAAGGACATTAACCTAAGCCAAAATGATTGCTATGCAGATGGCACAGTCTGCGGTGCGGTTTGGAGCTTTTGAAGGTCTTCAATTGATTTTTTGGTGACATTGGAGATATCTTCAACTGAATGGGTAACTTGATGTAATGACTTCTTCGTGAAATTAATAAGATCATCAGTATTGTGGATTGCGTTGGATGTGATCTCCTTCATTTCGGCCTGCAATTTTCCAATCACCCACTCAATGGCTTGACGGCCCTGAAACAGATACAGACAAAATGTAAAATACCCTGTTTTATTTTTGTATAGGAAAAGAAAAAGATAGAAATTATTATTATCTTCATACCTTGCCAGCATTGACAGATATTTTATTTGTCATTAAATTTTCCATGTAGCTTTCAAGAGGCATCCCATGAACAGTAACAATAGCTTCTTGTTTTTGCAAAGTTTTGTTGCTATCTTCGGGGTGAGGCATATATGTCACCGTTTCATCAACAGCCATGACACTACCAAATGTGAGCTAGAATAAAAAGTTGAGAACAGATAAAACACTTCAAATACAGTCAACTTCAATTTAAATAACACAAATGCTCATTCAAGAAGGAACTTACATTTCTAGTTCGTAGAGTCATCTGCCTTTCTCTAGGGTCAACAAATGAATATTCACTTGCATAGCAAATATTTGTTGAACCAATCATCTGTGATAGAAAAAGCAATGGCCCAACATAAGAAAAACATGACAAATTATTAGCAGACAAAACTATTTGCCCCTTCATTGTACCAATACTCACAGCTTCAGCCCATTTAGGAAATGGCCATTTAGATGCTACTAATCTGTGGGTATGCAAAATCCCCTTGACGACTTTGCGATCAATGACATCAGTTCCCAAAACGGCAGGGTTGATTGGATTTGGATATTTTCTCCAAGCAGCTTTGGCCACTGTCTCCCATGGGTGACTGCAAAAAAATAATTGAATTCAGCGGAGTTCAGAATGTTCCAAATATCGATATCGTTTAAAAGTCACAACCACAGCGATGAGAAGTTTGTGAAACATTATCATTGATTAATACTTTAAAGGGACCTGAAAAATTTAGGTTAAGAAGCCCTTGCAGATTCTAAAAGTTGAAGAGAGAACACTTTTTCCACAGCTATAATTCTGAAGGAACTAAAGAGTTTTAGAACAGGATTTAAATCAAACAAATTTGAGTGCTTTATTCTTGACAATCTGCTAAAATTGGGCAATTGCCAAGGCCTCTTGCCTTCTGCTAACATACACACAGAGACAGGAAAACGAAATGTTACATATGAAGTTTGAACTGTTCGGGAATCAACCATGGCCAGTACTTACTCGTAAGTATGCTCACTCTTCCAAATCTTCATTTTCGATAAAATGTCTGAATCAACCAACAATTTAGTAAATTTTCTAGGTCTAAACTAAGTTTCGTCACACGAAGAGCGAGGTCTCACAAAAAAAGGACTGGTACATTCCAAGGTCGTTCTCGACCTCACCCCCACGACGCTCAGCTGTTCGGTGGTCAATGTCAAAATGATCAGCAAAAATATGTTGAACTTCGTTTTTTCGCACAACCTCTAGAAAAATGAAAAACGCTCAAGTTTTCAGATGGCACGGCTCAGCACTTTATCGAGAATTCAATCATTTTGATTGTGTGGCGACAGGTAGACGCCAACAAATTTCTCATACCCGCAGTTTGTTTTAAAGCGCGCGACCTTTCAAGCCGTTGTGCTTCTCAGGCTTCTCCATCCTCCACATACTTTACAGATGTACCGCTCAAACAAACGTCGCAAACATGTGACGTAAGCTAAGCTAGGTCCATCAATGCGACGCAGGGAATAGTTTCACATCGGCGTCCTACGGCGAGTTGGACCGTCCTCCTGGAATTATAATTCCCCGTCGATGATACATATCGGGATCCCCATCGCTAAGAGGGGGCGGGGGGGGGGGGGGGGCTACCGCATGTGCCCGTCGTTGCCCCCCTCCTCCCTTTTCCCTCAACCTCACCCGGCGGCTTGTCGAACCGTCGCACTGATCGGGAGGGCAGATCGAGCCCGGCCCGGGTGCAAGAAGAGAAGAGGCCGAGCGCGACGCTCTCCCAGCCGCGCCCGTGAGAGCCAACAGGATGGTCGCCTCCTCCCCGCCCAGGTCGCCGTTGACGCGGAGGACGCACGCCGCCAGGAGCGGCAGCCGCAGCCGGACGGCGTCCTCGTCTCCTCCGCCGAGGACGGCGTCGTCGTCGGGGGAGGCGGGCACGGCGCCGGCCGCCGGGCTCGGCATGTCCTTCCTGGCGCCGCCGCCGCCCTTCATGGGGGGGCTGCACCCGGGCGCCGGCGACGAGGTCGGGGTGCGCCAGCGGTCGACCAGCTTCACCCGCGCCGAGGAGATCCGCGAGCAGCAGGCCAAGGAGTACAAGTCACGCTGCGACCGGCCGTGAGTAACCCGCCAACCCTCAACCACCAACCGGCCCCGAGTACCATGCCTAACCCCCACCCCCAACCGGCCCTGAGTACCACGCCAACCCCCAACCCCTAACCCCCACCCCACCGGCCGTAGAGTACCCTCGCCTACCCGCAATCCAGCTTTAAAAAATTCAGTGTACACCCTCAGAAAAAATCACGAAAAGTCATAAAAAATCACGAAAAAATCATTTAAAAAATTCAACGAAAAGTCAGAAAAATTCACAAAAAATAAGAAAAAAGAAACAAGAAAAACAGAACAATTGGTGTAAGCTAGAATTTATAGTAAAGGACCCCTCGCCCTGTTCCCCCACCAGGCACCGGAGCAAGTGGAGAAAAAAAAGTGCAGCCCTGCTCTTGAAACGGCGTCAGACGTAGCTTAAACTCAATCGAAATTTTGTCAGTTTTTCGTCAAGTTTCTGACGCAGTTTTCATGTTAGCCACACCTGCACCACCCGCTTGTCGTGACGCGGGAGTGGGAGTTCCCTCCCTGCCCCCCCC